AAAACAATGCATATGAACTTCGTAAATAAAGCAGTATAAAATAAAGGGGGCGGAATTATCATTAAAAAAACAACTCAGAGACTTACATAAGTGGAAACGCATCATGTTAATAGATTAAGACATTTAACACTTTGACACTTAATATTTTTAAATTCTCCATACTAAGAAAAGCAATCTTCAAATATATGCTTTCTAGCCAGATGATGTTATGCTGTTGTTATGTGCCGTCGAGTTGCTTGCTACTCATAGCGACCCTATGTACAACAGCTCTAAACTCTGCTCTGTCCTGTGCCAATCACACTGTCTGACACTCCCATCCCGATTACCCCAGTCACTGAATCAATCCACCTCATAGAGGGTCTTCCCTTCCTGGGCTGTCCCTCCACGCACCCAAGATTGATGTCCTTCTCCAAGGACCTGTCCCTCCTTGCAACATGTCCAAACTATGTCAGACGAAACCCCAGAATCCTTGCTTCCAAGGAGTAGCCTGGTTTAACCCTCTCCAGCCAGATACTCTCATCATTTTCCAAAGTGATGAAAATGATCACTAACTTCATACAGGAAGCAAAAAAAGGTCCCAGGGAATCAAAGAGACGCTAAAGAACAAAAACAAAGTTGGAGGTCTCACACTTCCTGATCTTAAAGCCTACAAAACAGCAGAGGTACTCAAAAACAACATGGTAAAATAAAACCCCAAAATAAACAAAACCCCAACACAATACTGCGCTAGTGACTGGTACCAATGGAACAGGATTCAGACCCCTGAAATAAATCCATCCCCACACAGACAACTGCTTTTTATAGACATGAAGTCCAGTAAGTCAGTGTGGGTTGAGGGGAAATCTCACACAAATGGTGCTGGCAAAACTGGACATGCACTTGCAGGAACTGAAAAGTAACTCATACCTTACGCAAGATACAAAACTAACCCAAGATAAAACAAAAACCTCAACACACAACCTCAGTCTGTAGAGATAATCAAAGCAAAACTTGGGACAAATTTGGGAGCCCCAGTCTATGACATTAGTGTCAATAGATTTATCATATAAATAAGATTTATCATAGAAATCTAAAAATACATAATTATCAGAGGTTAATGCATAATCATCAGAGGTTAACGCGTAAAGCAGATGTCTGAAACAGAGTGTGAAATATATAAAACAGGTGTTTCATAGACTGGGACCTCATAAAAATGAATTCTTATGTAGATCAAATGTGCAACAATGAATGAATGGGGAAACAATTAAATGGGAAGGATATGCCATAAAAAAATAACATAGAAATGTTAAAAAAAAGATTTCTCTTATCAGTAAAGTGAGAAGATTTAGGATAGAAAAAAATTTGGCAGCGACATATGGGACAAGGAACTCATTTCTAAAATGTATGGAAATAGCTATACCTCTCACAAAGGCACATGGTTCAAATCCACCACACGCTCTGCTGGAGAAGGAGGCGCAATCTCTCCCTGTGCCAGTTGGATCTGATTCAATGGCACATGGGAATAAAAGAAAAGAGATAGCTGTACATCAAGAAAAAGCAAACAAACAAAAAAAAAGAAAAGAAAAACCAACCAATTCTAAATGGACAGAGGACATGAATAACACTTTACCAGTGGAGACATTCAGACGGCCAAAAATCACAAGAAATATTTAAGATCACTAGACACTGTTGTTAAATGTTAAGAGTTTAGTATGACTCAAAGCGAACAACAGATATGAACTCTGTCCTTTACTGCACCAGCCTTATCTTCCTTGACACATTTCAGTCCATTGCCACAGACACTCTATGAATCCATCACGTTAAGGGTCTTCCTCTTCTTTTCTGACCCTCCGCTTTTCCAATCATGTTGTTCCTTTCCAAATAGCTTTTCCTAGCAACATGTCTGAAACATATGAGGAGAAACGTCATCATCTTTACCTACAAGGAACATTCTGGTTGCACTTTCTCCAAGACCTATCTGTTCTTTTGGCAAGCCATGGAAAATTCAGCTCTCTTCTCAAACACCACAACTCAGTTGCATCAATTTTTCTCCCACCGTCTTTATTCACTGTCAAGCTCTCAGATGCATAGCACGTAATTGGAAAGACCTTGGTTTGAATCAGGCACACTTTAGTCTTTAAATTGACACCGTTGGTTTTCAGGACCCTGGACAGATGCTTGACAGCTGACTTTTCCCAATGCTGTGTCTCCCAATCTCCGAATTGCTGGTACGAAGGATGCTGACTGTGGATCGAAGCAAGATTAAACTGTTGCCAATTTCAGTCTTTCTTCCATCTCTCACGATACGGCTTATTTGCCCGTGGTGAGGACTTTGGTTTTCTTGATGTTGAAATGTAATCCGTGTTGAAAGCTGCAGTCCTTGATCCTCTGCAGCAAGGGCTTCAGGTCCTCCTCACTTTCATCAAGTGCGGTTGTGTCATCTGTATAATGCAGGCTGTTCATGAGTCTTCCTCCAATCTTGATACCATTAAAGAGGTACAAATCAAAACAACAATACGGGGAAAAAAACACACCAACAATACGATATCATCTTACACTGGCAACAAAAGCAAAGTTCAACACAGCAGCAAACAACAAATGCTGGCCAGAATGTGTAGATATTGGAACCCTTCTAGACTGCTGGTTAGAATATAAAAGAATGAAACCAACAATGGAAAGTAGGCTGGCACTTCCTCAGCAAGTTGGAGGGAAGACACCTTTCGAGCCAGCAACCTCACTTCTAGAGCAATATTCCAAAGACATAAAGGCTATGGCACAATCTGACAGACGCAAATCAATGACTCTTAAGACTCTAATTTAGTAGGGTTTGGAGGTCGTGGCTTTTTTCATTTTGGTTTTGTTAGGCACAAAGAACTTGAGCTCCGTATCAGCCAATACCATGCCAAGAGTCTTACGTTGTTTGGGTTGTATTCTCTGCCTACTCTCAGAGTCAAGTTTCCACTTCTGTTTTGTTTCCTATTTACAAGGAACATGCTCATTCATGTTCATGGCAACACCAATGACAATAGCAAAGATATGAAAACAAGGCAAGCGTCCACCAATGAACAGACGCATAAAGGTATGTGCAACACTAAAAAAAGAGCAATGGATGCATCTAACACACATCATGCTAAATTAAATAAGTACAGCATCCCCTTCCATCCTTAGATGGAAAGAATACTATTCCTGGAATGATCTCTCCTTGCTGTAGACACCCACCCTAAGAGGTCTTAAAGTTTCCTTTCAAGGTTGATCTGTACTCTTTCAGTGTGTAAGGACCTACCCTGGACCCGGGAGGGGCTACGCCAGGATTGACAGAAAGTTGATCCTGTTTCTTCATGGAAAAATATGAGTAGACGTTCATTTCCAAAAGGACCTCACTGCAGATAAATTGGATGGTCCTCTACAGAAGAAAGCGCAGAAAGGACCAATGGAAAGAAATTAAAAACAAAAGAACTCACAGTGCTGCCAAATTCCAGAGGGCACTCACTGGCATATCTCTTGCTGATATAAGGTCAAGGACAAACCAAAAGCCTGAAGTTGGAAAGGCTTATTGAGAACAGTCTCTCAGGGCAGGCAACAAAGCAAAAAAGGCTAAACAAGCACCTAAAAAGACTGCAATGGCTGCCACTAAGGCTTCCACAAAAAAATTGTGGAGCCTGTGAAAGTTTCTGCTCCCTCAGTTGCTGGAAAATGCTACGTGGGCAGATGAGACTTTAAAATAAAGATCCAAATATAACTTTTAAAAAATAACTTAAATAAATATGGCCAAAAAAGACATAGTTACAAAGCACTGTTAGAGAAAGCTAAGGAAAGGTCTCCACAAAGATGGAATTATTGTTTGATGGTTAACCAGAAAGGGAAGGGATGGAGTGAGAAATAAAGTTAGTAAATAGATAAAGAGCACCTATCGAGGTGGGTGAAGACAAAGGCAATATCCAAAAAGGAAAAAACAAGCACAATATCACTAAAGAATGAAGGCACAGTGTAGAAGGATTAGTGGAAGTCAGAACTACATGGAGAAAGTGGGGAGAATGCACTTAAGTTATGAGAATTAAAATGAATATTTTTTAGTAATAGGCATAAAACATTAAAAGAAAAAACCAATTTACTTTTAAAGCTTTACCATTATCACAATTTTTTAAAAAAAATAACATATTTTGCATAAAAATAAGCTTGCTGATTATCTGCCTGATAAAAGGGATAAAGGAGTCTGCATTGGTGGAAGCTCAGGAAACGGAGGTGACCTGTCCCAATTCGTCCCATCTCTGTACAAGGCAGGCTCAGGACTGGACTCAGATCTGGTCTTATAGGTCCCCACAGAGTCACCTGTGTCCTCAGCCCAACAGTTAGGGAGAGTAGAGCCACCACAGAGAGGGGATGTTTCCTTCCTGTGAGGCCACTGATGAGGAAACCCCGTGACACGCAGCCCGGGACCTAAGACGGGTCACACCCTGAGCCGGTCTGTCTGCAGGCTCTGTGGTCACTAGACTTCATCTCCAGTCCCAGAACCATGCACGGCAGCCCGGCACTGACCCTCACTGTCCTGTGTCTTGGTAAGCTCCATGGAAGGGGGGCGGGGTGAGGTCCCTCTCCTCACACACAGGGTCCTGGTCCTGTGGGGGACCCCAGGGGCTCCAGAGCCTACAGAGGAAGTTGAGCCTTCACGGAGAGGGGTGTTCTCAGCCATGTCCTGACCCGAGTGCTCAGGGGCCCTGTCCACCATGTGGTCACTGTGTATGGGGTGAAAGGACACACTTCTTACGGGCTTTCTCTTTCCAGGGCTGTGTCGGGG